CACCAAATGGCAAACGCCAGGATTCATCCAGGCAACAGTCAGGTGCCACAGTGACTTTGCTTAGAAAATACGGATTTTTGCAGATATACACCAATCAACGTCTCTAGAATTTCCACAGTACATCCCCAGTACAGTAACAATTAATGTGGGAGAACTAGTGGCTGGACAGTGATTCAAAGGCTATGCTGCTTTTTGGTTGGATATCCTTTAGATGTATCCAGATTTATGTGACAACTATTTCTCAGTGGCATCTTAGATAATTGGTAACTTGTAGCCGATGGAAAGGGTTTTTCTTCTTAAGCAAAGACGCAACAAGGGGTGATGAACTTAAATCATCACAGTAGACATGGGAGACGGGTGAGCAGGTAGTAAAGGGGAGGTCTTCTCCACTGGAGGTCTATAAAAGTGAAAAACGGACCTGTTCTGGTTACTTGAGTAGTCCTCCTCTAAAACAGGAATATAAACTGGTTGAAGGAAAGAATCCCCAAAAGAGCAAACTTCTTCAACATAGTAGGACAAGATTTTCTCAACACATTCATTTGAACACCCAAGCATCAGTGACCACAATATCTGGTACAACAAGGAAACGGAGTCTCCACACAGTTTAATTGTTGGGCCTGGCAGGCATGGAATTGCACCTGGCCAACAAAACAACATGCACCCGGACATCCTGATTCTGAGAATTAATCATTTCTCTGCATGTCAATTTTCTTTAATTAGTCACCGTAGCCTACAATAGTTGGCCCATATCCTTCGTGATGAATTGCCCTTGTCTCTGTCCAGAGACTTCTCTCCTTTCCCACCCCCAGCACACACAGCTGTGTTGAACCCTGTCCAGTCACGTCTGTGTTCAGCGGGAAAGCTTTTTGTACACATTGATTATACACAGTGTTCTAACAGATTGGCTGGGGAACACATTATGGCTCTTAGAAAAAATGGTTTATAAAACTGCAAATATTGACAGTGATTCCTTGAAGAAGAAGAAGGCAGCTCTAGAAATGGCAAAAATACATTCTAGAAAGAGTAGACTGATTTTATCAAAGTACCGATCACGTCCAGTTAAAGACTAGGAGGGCAGTCCCTGGCAGGCCTGCTTTCAGTATATTCTGGCCCAGTGGACAGAGCAGGACATGGAGTCCTAGTCCCAGCTCTGCCTGAAGCCAGGTGATCTTAGACAAATCACGTAAACCCCCGAGCCTCCACATCTTCCTCAGTAGAGACAGTACCTAACATGAGCCGCAGTCTTTCACATGCTTGGAGGATGAAGTGAAATGATGTATGTGAATGCATCTTGTAAGGTATTATTTCATATCCAAGAGGATGAAGTCAGTCTATTGGCATGCTGATGAACACACCTTTAGTGTTGGGCAAAATTTCTAGACAATTTAAGTTGAAATATCTTTATGGCCACCCTGAAGACTTTTGCCTCTTAATTTTACTTTCTTAACTTCCATTTGACAGTCCCTCACCACCAGTCCAAATAGCTGGGCTGCTGGTAGCCTGTTAGCACTGTATGGAGCACAAAATGCCACATTCTCCTTATTCTGTATTCTCAAGCCTGCCCATCACACTTCCCCAAGCATTCAGTTCAACACCCCACATTTATGTGTCCCACAGAAGTCCATCACGCACACAAAGCAGACACTAGAAGGAATTTTGTGGAAAAGATAAATATTTCTTAAGTATCAAGCATCCTTGAGGTGTATAAATGCCTGTTTGCCAATCATTGGCCTTAAATGTACCTTTTCTAAAACAAAATATTAATGCTTTCAGTCAACTTAATATTTATTAGGAATAAGGAAAAAACACTCCAAAATCACCATAGAACTGATCATTAATAATTGATTCACATGCAACTCTTAAGAACATGTTACAGCTATCTTCTGAAATGAGAAAACCCTAGTTCCCCTGGTAGCCCACTGGCGCTCACTGAGCTGGATAGGAAGCAGAATTCTAAGGGCTTGAATAGAAGGGGACAGAGCATCAGCCCCAGGGGTCTCACATGCTAAGGCGGGAATCTTCTGTTATACCAGCCAGTCTCTGCTCCTTCCTGACACCAACAGTCAGAGACAACGCTCCACTCTTAGGAAATGGAACCATATTCAAAGATGCATTTGGGGCAGCGTTGGGGAGAGCGGTGGGTGAAGAGATTCAAGAGGATCTGACCAGTGCAGAAGTTAAACTGAATATGCTCAACTCCCCGCCAGTCCTGGGTTTGACAGTTGAACACAAAACATTTACCAACAAAAGGTTGCAGTCCTGCTTTGAGGAAACATACACAAGTCCAGTAATCTTTCTTTCCAGGTGACCCTCACTCTACACCCACACAAAGATTCCCCGCTAAAAGCCCTTAATTACAAAGAGCCATAACAGCTCCAGCTGGGAACACCAAGCATCTGGTTTGCTTGTGCCTCATAAACTTGCCACTCTGCACAGCCTAGTAACTGCCACATAGATCTCTGAAAGGTAAACTGAGTATTTAAAATACAGGTTCTTGTTTTTCATAGCACAAAGGAAAAAAGACATCATCTGACATATCTTTATTAGGAGTGCCTAACAATAACAAGCTCCCGTTTACTAAATTGAACAATATATCAAACAGTAAAGAATATTAGTTTACGAAAGATGGTGAATCTGTGTCCCACAAGAAAATCTAGATTTCAAAGCACAGAAATGAAAAAACCCTGACATCTACAAATAAATTGGGCATAGACCTTAGTTCCTATTAAGGAGAGTATTTTAACTTAAGCAGTTACAATCACTCTATATTTTACTGGAAATGTCTTGAAATTGTCATTTTCAATCATTCTTTTGTTCTTCACTATTGGATAATATGTAATTTTCAGGGAAGTTTCTTAATCTCAAGTATAATAAAAGTATTTTTTAAATGCCAAGATTATAAAGGAACAATACATTCTGTTAATACAATATAAATAAATATTTTTTAAACAACCTTGTATTTCAGTTTGGGATAACTCATGATGCACACCATAACCAAAGGCTTAAACAAGAATGGGATACAAATTTGCTAGGAATGAAAACTATTAGCCCAATATGAATTTAACACAGTCTAAGTCTCTAGTTTCCCACTTGCAAAATAGCTTTCTCTTGCCTCAATTTATCCCAAAGTATATAGGCTTAAAACAAAAATACCACAACCTGACTCACTCCAACAAAAAGGGGGAACTGGGGTCTTCTTTTGAGAAAAGCAAAGCAAGATAATTATTTCTAGGTAAAAACATACTGAAGAGCAAACCTATAAAATCAGTGAAGAGATCAGTGATTTCCAGGGTTTGGGGATGGGCCGAGAGGGTTGACTCCAAAGGCACAGAGGGGCTATTGGGAGTGGTGGAACTGCTCTATATCTTGACGACTGAAGGGATTACTCAACTGTGTGCAACTGTCAGAATTCACAGAGTGCCTCACCTGAAGAGGCTAGATTTTATACTGCAATAAGTTTGACTTTTCAAAAATGCTATTATGTCTAAAACTAACAGCATGATGTCTAAAATTAATGCTAGGCACTGAATTATGCAGCCTAACATCAAGTATACATGTCTCAAGGGTTTTAAATGTAATTATCAAAAAACTTGTCAGTAAATGACTCAAGCCTTCAGTCTTTTATATAACTATTTTATTATTTATAGATATTATATAAAATGACTCAAAATATGAACTAAAATTATTACAAGATGTATTTTGAATCATTACCTGTTGGATACCCATAGAAAATTGCAGTCATTCTTAAAAATGGACATATCAATATCTATTAAGTGCTAATTGGATTTTTAAGCATTGAATTTACTACTTTTACCTGTTCCATATTATAAATGAATTGAGAAATGTAAAAAGTGATTAGATTCATTCAAGTCCCTCAGAACCACTATGAAATGTGTACTAAATGTGTTTTTAATTGATTGCAGAGACTTACAGGTCTTAAGTGTTACAGGAGACTGGCTGTTTTTGAAATAAGAATGTTTCAGTAAGTCAACTGAAAAAACAAGGCTTGAATGTAAAATGGAACCCTAAGGTTTACGCTTTAACACCTATTGATGAACAGAGTCTTACACTTTCCTTCTTCTCGAACGTATGCAGAAACATACAGATTTTCTGCAGAAAACACAGGAGTCAGAGAGTCATTTTTTTTCATAGTCATGGCGTATTTACTTCTTACAATACTCGTGGCACAAACGTTTCGTTTCACTTTTTTTTTATCCCCACAGCCCCAGTATATAGCTGTATATCCTAGTTGTACCATGCTAATCTTCTCTGTATTGTTCCAATTTTAGCATATGGGCTGCTGAAGCGAGTACATATGTTCACTTTTTAAATAACAAACATCTTTCCCCAGACCTAAAGGAAAATAGCCACTGTGAGTTTCAAAACTTACAACAAAAGTAAAAATTCGTAATGGAATGTTCATGTAAATACTAGAAATCTAACAAAATAAGGCAAACGCTTTCCTCTGAAGTGTTGTGTACCACACTGAAGCACCAAGTTGCTTTTGAAAAGCTAGTAAAATTGAGTCAACCTTACCTAAGAAATCCACTCATCCAAAGTTTTGTTTTTCACAAAAATACTATTCCCATAACTCAATTCTATACTTTCAATATGAACTGGCATGAAAGATAACACGAAGGGTTAAGAGAGCAGCAGGTGGCTTCCTCTTCAGCAAAAAACCCAGACCAGATCTTAATTTTGCTCAGTCTGCCCAGGAAAGAAGTAGCTGTACTTTTTGATATGACTTAGGAATGCCAGTTAATGCATTTTAAAGCACTGGTCACCTGCCTGATACATCTTCCCAGGCCTACAAAACTCAAGAATGAAGGGCCTCGTCCAACTTTCCCACTGTCACATTTCCCCCACTGTCAGGAAATCCAGAGAGAAAACCCAGAGGAGTTTTTCCTTTTAAAAAGACATGTATGTTAGCACAATCATCCCAGAGATTTCAAACAGAAAATCAGAGAATTAAATCACACCTTGAGCGAAGGGTCACTTACCTTGCAGGTAAACACTGGCCTAGCAATCTCTAAAAGGCACACGTGCTTTTCCTGGGGTAGTTCTGTTCCCCGCACCCGGCCCGCGGCCACCAGCCACGGAGAGAGAGCGCGCCTCGCGCAGCCCGGACCCAGATCGCCGGCCCTCACCCGCAGCATGAGATGCCAGTCGCAGCCCAGGATGGCCCCCCTCTGGCCGGGATCCTGCGCCTCCTCTCCACCCTGCAAATTTCCACAGGCGGTTCTCGAAGCCTCGGCGCTTCCAGCGGCCTAGCAGCAGAAGCGAGGGAGTGGTTGTCAAAACGGCCAGTCTCTGGAGACACTGCGAAGATCACAAACGACTTAAGGAAGAGCCTCTTCTTCCTTTTAAAGACCCAGGAGGGGGGTGGGGGGAAAACATCCAAGAGCACACGTGACCACCGAGCCAGCGGCACGGAGATCTCGGAGGACCTGGACTCCCTGCCTCGTGATCCACACGCACCTGGGCGAAGGGGGAAGCCCCAGGGTAGGGCTGTCACCCTCGAGCCCCTCACAGTCACCCTCAGGGGTAGCACAGCACAGACGGCGCCCTTTACCCGCCTCCTCGCCCCCGACCCCGTCTCGCATTTAGGTTTGGTGCGGGGCCTGAGAATGTGCATTTCTAACCAGGTCCGGAGTGATGCTGAAACTGATGCTGCCGGGCTCGGGACCACACTTTGAGGATCGCGTCCCTAGACCCTGACCCACGTGGGTCTGAGAGGGGCTGGATGCTTCGGCGTCATTAAATATAGAAGTCTGACTTTTAAGAATCTAGTGGTGAAACTAGAGACTCTGGATTCGCCCAATCACCAGCAGTGAGCACAACCTCGTCTCCTAGAGAGGCAAAGCCACACTGCCCTGGCTCGAGGTGGAGGGCGTGTGTTCTCAGCTCTCAGGAGCTGACTAGGAAGGCCTTTCGTGTTAGAGCAAAGATGCCAGGGACCTCCTCAAACTCACCTACGGCCAGGAAGCACCCGGGGGAAAATCTGTGCCTCTGCTGTGGCGGTTCTCCCCTCGCCCGCCCGCCTCGGGCGCTTGGTCGAGCTCACGCCACTGGCGAGCGCCCCCTGGTGGCAGCTGCAGTTCATCCGGCTCTGCAGGGTCCCCAAGCTCTCATCTCCCCGGCCCCCCACCCGCCGCAAAAGCCCACAGTGTGAGTTAGGACCATATGACAGTCGCTAAGAAGCAGTGGGCTTTAGGGCAGCCAATGATGGTGAAAATCAAAAGGAAAGTAGCAGATGTCCCATAAGCCATTGTGAGACCCCAGTGCCACGTTTGTGCCTAATCAATCATTAAACTATCCATACACATGGCATAAGGGACATGGTTCTTGACCTGGTTGTGACTCTAGGTCTCTGGTAGAGGAAGACCAAAGGGGCATTTAGAGGGAAACTTTTACAATGCCAGCCTCAGGTGTTGGGGTTTAGCCAAAAATAGCCTAGAGGGACTCTAGTGTGCTGTGGGTTTATAAGAGCAAGGTCCACAGGTGCTGGAGACAGGCTCAACTTTACAAACAATGGTTATCAAAAATACTTACTCCCTCCTCCCGATTTTTCATTAAAGCCGAGACTCCTAGATTCTCTCAAGTTGTAAGGGAGAGTTTCGTGATCCTTGAGGCAGAGAAGTGAGTTTGGACAGGAGGGTGTGTAGCTGACCAGATCCACCCAGTGAAGCACTGTGGAGGACAAGATGTTTATCTTTGACAGTCTCAGATTGCCTGTTCCCTCTCCTGGGTGTCTCTCCAGGTAGCCAGTACTCACGTACTCCTTCCTTCTTTCCACCTGAAGGAGAACATTTTAAATGATGGTTAAAAAAAAATCAGTTCCATTTGGTGGTACTTACTTGTTAACAAGATAGCTCTGGCAAGGAAATTATAATGAAGGAATTACAGTCATCAGCCAACAGGCAGACAAAGATGATGTGAGGGTGAAGGAAACTGACGTCTATCAAGTATCCACATCGTTCCAGAGAGCGTGCTAAGGCTCGCACAGGGAAGATTGACCCTACTTTTCAGATGAGGAAACTGAGGCTCACAGAACTTGTATCAGTTACCAGAAGCCACACATAGTAAGACAGAAACCCAATAGCAAAAATGGCTTTGTAAACAGCTACCACTCACTGGGCACTTAGCCATGCTCCACTTTCTACATATTATCTCATTTTATACACACGCCTATGAGAAAAATTCTGTGATTAATTATCCCCATTTTATGGTTGAGAAAATGGCCAGGCAGTGGCTGAGAACGACTTGAACCCAGGCCAGAGCCCAAGACTCTGCTTTCTTCCATACCATGACTGCAATCGATTGGAAGTGAAGAGGGCTTAAATGTCAGGCCCCTCCATCCCCTACAGATGAGCTCCCCTCAAAGCCTCCTGTTGCCCGTGAGGAAAGCTGCGCTCGGCCGGAACCAGAGTGGCGCGTTTGCCACGAAGCTTCCTTCAGAAGACGTTCCACTCACGTCGTGTTCTCACCATGTTCTCTTTTTAAAGACCCTCAGACACCCACAGAGGCTGTTTGTTACACAAGGAAACCTCAATGCAGGAAATAGTAAGCAAAGAGAATGAACGGGAGTGAGTCCATTTCCTTCTGACTCACCCTGTGGATGGGGAAAGATAACGGTACCTTAGGGATAGAACCTTCACCCCGTTTAATGCAGTGAGTGGGGAGGGGGATTACTCCAGCTCTACCTGAACCATACTCAAAACTAAGAAGGGATTCTTGAGACGGGTAATACCATGGCTAGACCAAAAAGCACCCTGAAATCTAGTGCTGAGGGCCGTGCCTCTGCTCAGCAGGGTCCCAGTCTCGTTTCCACCTCACTCATGACCTGCTTAAGGAAGCACCCACATGGTGTGACATCAAAAGGCCTTCCTTCCCCCAAAATACCCTGCAACAGGGCCTGAAGTCCTCGCCACTCAGTCATCCTTTGGGGTTAAAGCATTGGATTGTTACAATTCAATGATGTTATATATGATGGGTAATATTAATTAATTTACTAGCATTTATGATTACATTAATAAGATGAGCTTGCAAGATGAGCTAAATGTCACCTGGGAAAGCAAAGGAAGTCGGTGTCGGACAGGTACATTGTGCTGTAGGAGGAAGGCAGGCCTCTCCATCAGGGTGCACCCTCCTCATCCTCTCATCCTGCCCCTTCTCTGTCTAGTGAAGTCTTACCCCTTCCAAAGTCATAAGCCTGAGTAAAGTGAACACCGTGACAGCCCAGCGGAACGTACACACTGCCTCCCGCACAGCCCTCATCCTACCTGTCCACACTGCCTGCGCTGGGATTGTGCAGTGCCCGTCTCGTATCTCAAGCATCCCCTACGGTAGCGTAGTACCCATCGCATCCACCTCGTACAACCCAGGCGTTCAACAGGTACCTGCTGGAGGCTTCAACTTGGGAAGATCAGAGGGCAAGGGGAGGATTTTCTGTAGCAAAGAAACTACCAAGAGGCAGAAGAAGCAAATAAAACCCTGTAGAAGGCAAGAAAGCAAAAGCCGATGCTGAAAAGTGGAGAGGAGGGAGGATCCTACAATGACTAGAAGAGTGTCATGCTACAGGATGGCTTTGGATTGTCATTATTTCTCTTCTGAGCCTGAGGCCATGTGGAGTATTGAGGTCCTGGGGTGCTCTCACCTGCTCTGGTGTGTAACAGCATCAGGCTCGTTCTTCATATTATGTGGGTATAAATTGGTCTGTTTTAAGAGGATCTGAGAGATGAAGCCCTAAACTTACAGAATTAGTAAAAGAGAAGGAAAGACTTGTTGCTCCTTCAATAAAACCTTTATTTGGTGGTGCCGAATTGGACAGGCGGGATTACTAAGGCGATAGGTCAGAGGTTATCTCAGCTGCTCATAAACTAGGGTTCGTAAACCAGAACTTGATATTTGAAAGTTGAATTTGGGTAGAGCTCTTTAGGGCCATGTCTTTCGTGGAAATAAAAAATGAACCTAACTTGTATGCATCTTTCCAGTCCGGGTGCCACAGTAGGCAGGCTTGCACAGGTTGGCTCATTTTTATTTCATTTAATCCTCATAACTCCCCTGTGGCTGTCCCTGCTTTCTAGATGGGGAAACTGAGGCTCAGAGAGATGACGTTTCTTTTGTAAGGTCACTCGTGTGCATGTGGCAGAGTGAAAGTTCCAACCCAATGTTGTCTACCTACCTGCTAGTCCCCGGCTTTCTCCACTGTTACCCTGTGATGCTTTTCTTGTTTGCTGTGTAAACTGAGGCATATTTGTCCTGTAGAGCCCGGATATTGCTGAATGAAATTTTGCCAAGTTCTTGTCTAGGCATGACCACCTGTGTGCATATTTACATAACTTTGTTCTTTACTGACGTGTGTTTGATTTGAGCCGTTAGTAAGGTGACCAAGGACATAAGCAGTAAGGTAGACTTAACCTGATACTAGGGTGCTCAGACCACAGGACAAGGTTACTCTGACCTGCCATGCAAATGAACCACCCGGGCAGGCAGCTTGTGCAGCCAACTCCTTATAAGTCATCCTTGTTTGTCTCAGTCTTGGTCTCTGACATTTGCAAACATACAGGTAAAATAACTTTTGTCCTGTCTACCGCTCCTCGAAGGTACTTAAATTCTACACAAACCTCTTGCATACTTTGAGTTTCTAATTTTCCATTCATCTGAAATCAAACAACATGAAGAATATATATTCCTATCCTCAGTCCCAACTCTGATTGAAGCAATTCTCTCTTGAGCTAGAAAAGAAACTAGCCCCTGGAGGTCACTGCATGAGTGTGAACACCCAGTTGAGAAAGAAAATGTTAAAGAACTGTTAGAAATGGTGGCAAATTGTAATATGCAATTTCACAAATGACTCAGATGCAATTCTGGAAATGCAGCTTCCTTACCTCTTCTATCACAGAATAAGATAATATTACTAACAGGTCAGACAGTGGACTATTCCCAGAAATAAGGTCAGCAAGGAGATAGGGTATAGACAGACATGGCTTAAGAGGCCACAGATTCTAATAAGACTGTCTGATTCCATAGAGTTTAGAATTCAAAAAACCCCTCCAAACGTATTTGATGATTTCAAGTTCTTCATTCATATCATGGAAAATTACTAGAAATGTCTCATATTTTCCTTTAGACCCATATCAATTAACACTCCAGTGCTGCACATTGCATTAATGGCTTTTATAAAAATACGGACGCCATCTTTTTGTGCACAGAGAGAAGGTGCTTCTTTCACACGTTATTGCTTGATCTGATGAGCCTAACCAGAGAAAGGAACCGTCTTCCCCACTATGCAATCCCCTCCTTTGCCGGGAACTACAGCCAGAAAATGGACTTCTCCAAGTAGCTCACAGCTTCGGAGAGATCACCGGGGTTGTCCAACGTCCTAGGATCTCTGCATTCTCCCCTTTTGCCTCTTCTTTTTACATCTTCACATATTTTTTCTCTATCAGTCCAGGCAGTTTTGCTCACTAATCTCTCCTTCATGGTTCTGCCCAACTTCAGGCCAGATGCTTCCTCAGTCTGTTCCCACATAATCTCCCAGCCGCCAGCCACAACTTACTAAGAGAACTGCCACCCGAGGATGACATTGGCTTTTACAGTTAACCAAGCACGCACATGGCCATGCCATGCTTCATTTTCACATCAACTCTGTGACATTGATTTTATCCCTATTTTGCAGATAAGGAAATTTAAGTGAGTTCTCCAGATTTACACCTACAGGAACCCAGGTCATCTGACTCATTATGTAGATCCATACCTGCCTTCCTGAGGGACATTCATTTCCTGTGTTCCCAGCACTGGGGTCTCCTAATGTCCGCCACTGCTACTGCTAGTATCCACGGGCTTGAGTCAGCTGGCCCCATCCCTTCCCTCCACCTTTCCCACCCTATCTCAGTCTGAAATACCACTCAAGGGAGAAAATTATTGACAGCTTCTTTAGCTATTTTCACCTTAAAATTATTCTGACACTCGACATTACATTATTCTCTCATAAAACACTCTTTTTGAGAATGCTTCTTGCCCTCATGCATTTATCTCTGTAAGAATGCCCCCTTAGTGCTGAAAAACAATAATGCTGTAAGTACCTACCTGAGACACAAGAGAAGGTGAAGGTGTCTGTTCTCAGTTGATGAGGAGGAGGTGGAGATGAGCGCCGTTCATTCAGCTATTGCTTGTAAACTCTTTATCTGCACTATTTTACTTAATCCTCAAAACATTCTTGCCAGGTAGGTACTATGTATGTTCCCATGTAACAAATGAGAAGACTAAGGCTTAGAAAAAGTTTAAGTAACTTGCCCAGTATCACACAGCTAGTAAGAGCACAGGGTTCCAACCAGACCTGTTCCACTCTAACACCCGTTCTCTCTGAACCACTGACCTCCCTAAGGCTCTATACTCTGGTTGAGCAGAGCAGACAAATGCCTAAGAAATGACCTACAATACCTGTTACAAACGATAAGTGATTAAGGAATGGTGGAGATCAGGAGTTTTGTGGACATTCAGAGGATGAGAAGTCGTTTCCCTGCATGTTTGGGTTCCCCTTAGAGAGCAATTTATATTAACCCCCAAGCTCGAGCTCTTTACCTGAGCTGACCGAATTTCAGACATAAGGATTCTGATCTCCTCGGGCTCTCCTCTGAGTTCTACAGGTACCCAGGCCCAGCACTGCATCCCTCCTTTGGAATCCCTCATTCTCCACTCTGCCTCTGGAAGCTGCAATAGGGGTATACAGACTTCTGCAGACAGGAAGAGAGCACAAAGGCACTGGTGCAGGCAGGCCAGAGGAGCCCAGAT